CCCCCCCCAAAACAAAAAAAGCAATGGAACAGCCCCCACCATTCAAATACGTGGCTTTTTCAAATTTAGACACATGGCATTTTTTTTTTGAGAAGTTAAAACCCACTACCACCATTCAGACACATGGCCTTCTCGTTTTTCTAGAAAATTAGACACGTGGCATTTTCTGGAAAGTTGCTGCTAAAACTCACAACCCACTACCACCATAATCCATTCCTAAAAAATGCAGAAAATGCAAAAGTGGTTATCCACAACCACTTCTGTCTACATTCTATCTGTCTCAGTTAATCATTAACCCTCTATGTATCATAACAAAAGAAAATTGTTCATATTCTAGTAATTATTGAAAAGCTATTTGTTAAAATAAATCTTTCTTGAATTTTTAATAATTATTTAAAATATTAATAAATATAAATTTAACATTATTGATTCCATAATGTAAATTTAACATTACTGATTCCCCGTACTTGGTATGGGGTCATTCACCAGTTCAAATATAAAATTGAAGAAAAAATGATCAAATCACTTTAAGTGACTCAATAGTCAAGTGAGACCATAGTCTTTGTAATCATGAGTTATTGGGTCCATGTCTTCACACCCTTAAAGTGTTTTGGGATTTATTACAAGGCAAGTCTAGTTCCAAGGTTGGTTCCACCAAGACCAACCAAGGTTGGTTGTTCGAGTTGGTTTGGATAGGGTAAACCATTAGACCTTGGAATTGGCTTGGGATCAAGAATTTGGAATTAAGCCCTACCTTGTAATAGAACTCCAAAGTCTTCACTACAATTAGCCAAAGACCTTACCAAATAAGCAATTGGTACTTTCAATCACATGGTTAAAATTCATCTGGTCATGATGATTTTGGTGCAGGCCCTCTCTTAGGTTGGGCCCAATCAGCAAATTATGATGCTCATTCATATTCTAAAGTTTATTGAAATGAATGACTCAGGGTCAGTTTGTTTCATAGTTGGAATTGGAAAAGAAATTGAAATTGAAATCAAAATGGACTATTCCTCCCACCTATTTGGTTCAAATGGGAATCAAAATTGGAATTGGAATTGGAACCACCTGGAACTGATTCTCATTCCCAAGGAAGGGGTAGGGAATGGTCATTCCCTCAAATGGGGAATGCCATTCCACAAAGAATGGGAATGGAATTCCTGTCTTGCCTAACCAAATAGTTGGAAGACCATTCCAATTATGATTCTAGGCCCTTGTTCTCACGAACCAAACAAAACCTTATTGTTTTTGTCTTTTAATGAATAAAATAATTAAATAATAAAATATTGGGTCATTTACTAAAATAGCCCCATTGTTTAATGGATTTACTAAAACCTACCCATAGTTTATGTTTTACTAAAAGGCTCCAATAGTTTGCAACCAATATACTTAAAATATATAAATGGATATGTTATTCTTGCCCCTAGTTAAAACATGGGCAATAATTATTGTTGATCCACTGTTCTATTTTCCTCTTCAGTTTCCTGAAACCAAACACTTTGCGGTAGATCTGAAAATCAAACATTGGTTGATTTTAAAAACTTGATATCAAATGCTAAGAGTACTTTTGAAACAAAATACCATAGGCCCATGCTCTTGAACATTTTCCACGGAGTATAGTTAGTCAAATTACCATTTTTAGACAATAATATACAAGTTAGAAGATTATTGATAAAAGGTCAATTAAGTAAATTAGTTGTAAAGTACTGGGACAATTTTAGTAAAACATAAATATAGGGTAGGTTTCAATAAATGCATGAAACTATAGGGCTAGTTTAGTAAAATTGTCCACTTCACTTCAGCTTAAGCCATTAAAAAAAGGAACCCACGACTTCCTTAAAAACCTATTCACCAAAAGAAAAAGCAATAAGCTTTTTAGTTCAGCCATTTCAGCTGAAATCAAAAGACCCCTAAATCTGAATATTTGCGGCTATCAGCCTGTTACCAAACACCATCTGGGGTAAATATGGAATTTGGAAAAAACACCCTGCAATGGCCAAAACAACTTTCATCTCCTAACTGAACACAGCGAAAGCAGCTTTCTCCCCCTTTTCGATCTCTCGTTTGTTCGTGTGGTCTGGGTGCAAGTGGAACATGTCTTCGTCTAGGGGCTTCATGGCTGCTTCAGGTATGCTAAGAAGCCGTCTCAAACCGTCGCTCCGTACAAGAGGCGGAGGAGAAGGGCCGAGCCGGTGGACAAGCCCCGGGCACCAAGAACGACCAAACGGTTACCTCTTCAACCAAACCCCGCCACCACCCGGTCAGTCTAGAAAATGGGAGGACTGGGAGCTACCTTACTACATCACCGGCTTCCTCACCGTCGTCATCCTCGGCGTCGGTCTCAATGCTAAGCCCGATTTCACCATCGAGACTTGGGCGCACAAGAAAGCCCTCGAACGCCTCGAGCAACAGAAGATCGCGCTCTCCGCAGAAGAATCCGAGTAATTCGTGTTTTGGGTATGGCTAATTGGCTCTACCCTTCTCTTGTTAGTATGGTTCTTTTAATGGGTCCTAAGCTGTTGGGTCGATCTTGGTCTGGGAAGGGAAGAATTCGTGTTGATAAATGAAGCTCATGTAGTTCAATAAGGTCTTAACTTTTGGAATCGATCACTTGGGAACCTTTTATTTTGTTTTATTTGTAGTGGGTGATAAAGATAATGAACATGATAATGTTTTTGAGAGTTTTATACATAATTTTTTTACTGAATTGAAGTTTAAACTGCTTCTATCCTTCAATGCTTGCTGTTATGTGGGCGATGTTTGAATTCTCAAATTGGTGGCAACTTTAATTTTGTGACCATTGATGTGCTTCGTTCGAGGAGAAGCAAAGAAATATAGAGCTTAGTAAGGTATAGTTGCCTGTGTACTACAGTTCATCATTTTTCACCTTCACCGATCATTTGTCTTTTAAGCCAAACCTATTCATATCATATTACTTTCCAGTGAAGTGGTAAACTGTTTGCTTTATGCGCATATATGGTAGATATGGATTAAAATGGAGCAAAATTATGATTCACAACGGATGATTTGAAAAGAATAGAACTGATCTTATGAATTATTTATAATTACATTTTGATTTATTTCAACCTTCTTTTTGTTTATGATTTTCAGAACATTCACTGACTCACTGTGTAGAAAAAAAATTCTTCATCATGTCTCTACCAGTAAAAATGAAAAAAAAAAAAGAGGTCTTGATCATGCCTCACCTACCATTAAACAGTTTTCTTATGAGTAGCACGTTCGATATGCAAGGTATGACAGATGCTTCTGGTTAAACTCTGCTAAAGATCATTTGCTTGGGTTACAATTGGAAGTATGCTAATGTCTCACATTTTCTCTGGGTAGAAAGGATATGATATCCTTGCAATCTTGGGTTGGAATTCACCCTAATTGATCTTTGTAGGGTGTTAAGTTTTTCATTCACCTACAAAGAACCCTCTATAACTGGAAACCAAATACCACAAAAATGTTGATTCAGTGGTCAAGTTCAGTTTTGTTAATGCTCAAATGCATTACAAGCAAAATATAGAAAAAGAGTTGATATCTAGGACTCCTAGAAAGTAGTTCAAAACAACTTAGGTGTGTCACCATCTACAAACCAATGCCAAAGAGAAACTTCCCTTTAAAGGCCATTGACATGAAGCCTTAGGAGTCTAGGACATGAAAACGGATCTTAATGCCAGAAGTCGGGGGTAAGGGCTGGATTAATTTAGTTAAATTTCTCAATGGTTCACATTCAATGTAGATAGTCATAGGTAAGGGGTTCACACTTAAGAGTTGAGGGTTGAAGCAACTAGGTAACATACTATCAGTTTACTATGGAATAATTGTAACAAAAATGGAAGCAATCTTTTTTTATTAGTAAAATTGAAGAAGATATTATTAATCTAAACAAGGATTTCTTTCAGTTTGAGGTCAGGATGTTTTCCACTTTGACATGGGGAAAAGCATTACTTCAAAGTTATTTGTTCAATACATCCTTAAGCCTCAAAATTATTGCAGAGTGATTTTTGTCAGAGAAACTCTGGAGATGAGATGATGGGTGTTGGCAATGTTTCGGGAGACTAATGTTTTAAAAAGTACAGGCATGAGATTTAAGCCACAGGAGATTATTGTCTTTTAGGCACATGAGCTAAGATGAGATACAAAAAAGAAATAGTTTTTATAAGAAGAATGCATTGATGAATTAATGATCATATAAACAAGATGTATAAAGTATAATGAGCTCAAAAAACTGCATTTTTACAAATCCTTCAAGACTATAACAGGGCTCCTAATGTAAAACAAAACCTTAAATTAGTATTATAAATCATAAATGTTTAAATGGATTGCATACTAATATACACAAAAAACTTGGAATCAGCCTTTAACTTGATAATTTGATGAGAATCCTACTACAATTAATATATGATAGACTTGTTCTTGATAAGTTGATATATAGATTTTTAATACTAAGAAGAAAGATATATGGTATTTTTTTTGATAAATGAATAATAATTTAATTAATAATAAGAAAGGAAGTGTACATTCACCCTAAGAGGAGGCACGAGATGTTACCTCCCCTTAGAGGTGAGAGCATAAACAAACTCTTAAACAGAATACAATCATAGAGTACCACAAAATAATTCAACCCTTGAGACCCCTTCTTTTGCCAATGAATCAGCCATGGCATTTGCTGATTTGTTGGCCCACCGTTAGGTGACTGACATATTCCTTGTAAGCCAATTAACTTTCTTAAGAAGATCCCTATAGCCCCATAGGACTGCTTCTTAACTCGACAGCCAACCCACTACCACCATAGAATCTCCCTCAACTATCAGATTTTCCACTCTTAGTTGGCTTGCAACCTATATTCCTTGCACCGCAGCCCGTATCTCAGCCCTTGTAGAATCGCCAACTCCCACTGTCCTGAAAATAGGGATAGGATATTGCTATCCTTATCTCTTAGGATCCCTCCTATACCTGAAGGCCCTAGATTGCCTAGACTGCTGCCATCTAAGTTCAGCTTTACCACACCCTCTGTAGGAGGTCTCCACTCTATCTGTAGTCTATTCTTTTTGGGGGCTGTGGAGGCCACCTCTGTCCAACTTTTCTAGAGATCATCAAAGGAATAACCTCTAAATAGATTTGAAGTTTTCAACCAATGAATTGTTCTTGTCAAAATACACTTTTTTACTTCATCGATGCTTCTTTCCTTTTCTTGGAGTATTCTAACATTCCTCTCCTCCCAAATAGTTCACAAAATGGCTGCTCTACTGCACTTCCACATTAGTTTCCCTCTCTTAGTTGGATGCCCAAAAGTAGACGGATCAAAAAACAAGTTTACTTCAGAGGGCAAGATCCACCTGCACCCAAACAACACAAAGACCCAATTCCAAATATTAGCAGCAAAAACACAAGAAAACAGCAAGTGGTGGCAGTTCTCATTATGCACTTTACACAAAATACACCAGTTTGGGGATATACAAAGAAAATGTCTCTTCTTTTGTAGGTTATCCATAGTATTGATCTTACCATAAAAGGCTTCCCAACAGAAAACAACTACTTTAGGGGGAATTGGCCTTGGTCAGATTTCTTTGATAGGGAACTCCAAAGAGAGAGGGGCGGAACAGAGGAACTTGAGATAAGAATCACAAGTAAAGGAACCATTAGGAATTAAAGTTCAAATTCTTCTATCAGGTTTAGAGAGGTCCAAACAAACAAAGTCCAAAAGAAGCAAGAGCTTAGAGACACAAGCAGATTCATCATCCCTTAATCCTCTACGAAACCCAAAATTCCAATTCAAAGACAAGGGGAGAACTGGGGGAGAAAGAAATCTTGAAATATGCTCCTTTTTAAAGAGGGAGATAGAGAATAGGGAGGGGAAGCAATCTTTTAGAAGTTGAGAGCACCCAAATATCTTCCCAAAAAAGAACAGAATTACTACATACCTAAGGAAATTAGGGAGGGTACCGGAAATGGCCTTCCAAGGTGTTGTGAGCGAAGCCCGTCGAGAAAGAAATCTTAATGCATGAATATGTTCCTACTTATTAAAAAAAATGTTCCTTACACCTTGAGGCTTGAATCAAGGTTGAGCTTCAGGGCATTTTCTTAAGCCTTGCATCAAGGCAAACCTTGTTATCTCTTTTCAGAAAACTGTTCTCGAGTTGAGCTCTTGACCTTTCAAGGGCTTGGATTTTTGTACCCTTTGTGTTCTGAAAGGGTTGTGGTTAAGGTGATACTTAAGATCATTATTGGACGGATGAACGATGACTCTTGTGGGTCTTAGTTTTAGAGATTAAGTCAAGTTATCATACTAGAGTCTCAAACCTTGGCCTTCTTTATTGGTAAAATCCTTGGCATGGACATGTTTCTTGATGTTTTAACTTGATGGTTGGTGGGCTTGTCAGTGGAGGGATTTTTACTTTATTGGTGGATTTTACCAAGGGTGATCTTATGCTGTAGTGTCAAAAATCAAAAGATGAAAATAAATACCAATCACAGATAACACAGCTTTATGTTGTATGGCATTGCCTACCATCCACGGAAACAATCCACCAAGGCAGTTTTCAGCAATGTTGAGTTCATTTTCACAATTCCTGAAGATGGATTTGAGCACAAAAGGGGGAGAAACTCATGTTAAATTCTCTGTTTTTGGTTTTTGAAGTGAAAACGTCCTGATTGGATATTGAGAGCGTTTCTTGTTTTCAGAAGTAACTTTTAGATCCTTTTTTTTTTTGGAGAAGTGAAGTAACTTTTAGATCTTTTTGAACTCAAGCTGTCTGTTTTCGTTCTCTATGGATCCAGTTTCACTCTCATTGGTTGACCTTTTATCTGGATTTATGTGTGGAACATGGTTGAAAAAAATGAAAAATAGTTCATGTTACAGACTGTATTGACGACTTTTAAGGGCCAATGCCCAGTATTGGTCCTGGATCTTAGATAAGGTGTGCTGTATATGGACTTGACCTTATTTTTGGCATGAAGTGGTCGCTCTTGAACCCACATTTTGATAAATGACAGCCTGAGATTTTATAATGCACCAAAGCATGGATGGCCTTTTGCAATTTCTCAAAAAGTATTGATAAAAAAAAGCTTTTCAAAAATATTTTCATGCCCTAGCAAATGTGAGAAGGAGAAAAAATTTTGTTTCCAAGTTAGAGGTGGAGGGTGTCACTTTAGTTCATCAAAATGAAATAGCAAAGGCTTTTGCAAATCATTTCAGGTCGATCTTTAGGAAGCCTCTAAATCCGAGAGTGTGGATTGAAGGTGTGGAATGGCCTACATTGAATTCTAAGCTGAGAGACTGGTTAGAAAGAAAATTTGAAGTGGAAGAAATCCAAGAGGCAGTGTTCTCTATGGATCGTTCAAAAGTTCCAGGTCCAGATGGGTTCACTCTAGCTTTCTACCAAGATTGTTGGGATATAATAAAGGAGGACATTGTGGGAGTATTTGAGGAATTCTATAGAAGGGGAGTAATTAATATTGGCTTGAACTCCACATTTGTGGCCTTAATTCCCAAGAAGAATGAAGCCATTCAGCTAAGAGATTTTAGGCTAATCAGTTTGGTGAATAGTCATGGTTCAAAGTATCGATACGATACGCCCGGGGCGTATCGATACGATACGCCCGGGGCGTATCGTATCGTATCTTTTGAAAAAGATACGGTCCAAAACGCCTCCCCAATTTTTTTTAATAATAAAAAACATGCTAAAAGATTCCCAAAAAACCAA